CAAAGATACAACTATATAATTTTTATTTAATGTTAATATAATAGTAAGTTTGTTTATTTTACATTTAGGTTTAGGAATATATCATTATGATCAATTCTTTTTTATAAGTCTTTATTTTTTCTTAATTATATGTTTTATTTTTTCCGATCTAAACTTTCACAACTCATATTCTAGGAAGAATTTTTAATTTTGACAACTTTCTGTGCAATATCAGAGCTCGATTGAGCATGAAATTCCCAGTAAGTCTATATCTTTCACAGTGTTATGGAATCGTTAGAAATACTGAATTTGTTCAGATATTCAATGGAGTTTTTTGATCCTCAAAGTCCTAATTTTTGCGGGTTATAGTTTGTACTCCTTGGCCTTGTTTGGGTTTCAAAACTTAAATTTGTAATCTCCAGATTTATAGTTTCTGTAATACAGGATCAAACAAAATTTACGATTACATTTCTGTCATAAATTTTTAAATAGACTCTCTACCCTGACCCTGTGAAGCAGTTTATGGCAGAGTGTTTGTCAGGAGATAGTAATGATATGTCTAAAGCGTCAATACAAATATTGAGTTCAGTTATGTAACTCTCCCATAATTACTGATGTTTTAATTCATTCAAGAAGCATTTCTAAATTCATCACTCAGAAAAAAAATTATACTTTTTTTTTCCCCACACAGCACATAAAGTTGTCTTTATCAGCTTTCCTCAAAAAAACAGAGTAGACTCTGCCTATCAAATTTCCCAGTGAGCCCTTTCGTGCTTTCACTCATAACAACTCTCTTGAACATGATGAGCTTCTCAAATGATTAAAACCTCTCACAACCATCTCATCCTTTTCCCATGTCTTTTGCCATGACAGCTATAAAAAAGAGTGACTAAATAGCAATGGGTTTATGGCTGTAATTACTACCTACCAGGCTGTTCATAATAATTTTGTTGCTTTTATTGCTCCCTTGTTGGGCTTATTGAAGCCACCTTTTTTGCTGCTTCTGGCAGAAAGTGTAAGTTTGCTTTCTGGCAGATGAGAAGAGCTTTCTTGGCATGCATTCAGGAGGCCTGAACTTTCTGTTTGTTTCTGAGTTCTATAAATAAATAAATATTTGGGGGAGTTTCTGGGGGTACAGATTTGGGATTTTTTTTTTTATAAGTTTTTTTGAGGGTTTTCTTGGTACTTTTTGTTTGTATTTGTATTACTAATTCTGTCCAGTTCCGCTCCTGTATATTTCAGCTGATGTCAAAGCATCAACATGGACATCATACACAATTAAATTATGCATTTAAGTGCCTTTTTGGATTAGAAGCCTCAGTCAACTGCTAGAAGTGTGTTCTGCTAGATTTAGTAGAAAAATTAGTAGACTATATAAACCTACAGGGTTTTTAGGTTGAAAATTATTTAAGTATGTTAACAAGCACAGTTTGGTTCTTTTCTTTCTCCTGTAATATTGTTGTTAAGGGCTGGAGGGAGAAAGGGTCAAATTTACAATATGGACATTAATGCCTTTTAAATACAATAGTGGAACCCTCCAAACTCCAGGCTGATTTTATTAAAGGAGTGTACAAGAATGTAAAAATCAGCACATTAAAACTAGTCAAGTTTCTGGTGAAAAAAAAAAATACATTTTGTGGTTATAGAGCTAAAATTTTATTCTGGTTTGAATTATACTATTTTAGTGAAAGCAAGAGCACATCATTAGATCCAGGTAATACTTTCTTAGTTAATCTGTAGGCAGAGCTCTGTCTTCTTAAGTCCCTACCCATGAAAAATTCAGAGCAGTGTTTCAGTATCATGTATTACTTAGCAAGTATACACTGCCATATTCTGCCAGCTGCAGGGAGATTCTCCAGGACAAACTGCATATAAATAGCACAGAATGCCTCTTCTGCTACTCAGAGTTGCACAGATCAAAAAGGAGACTAAGACAATTCAGGAATACAGAGATATTTCAGCCCATTTATTCACATTGTTCAGTCTATGCTTTGAGGGCGTTGGGGTTGGTTTTTTTTTAAGTGTTCGGGTGGGCAGCATCTAATTGGACTTGTGCAAAGCGTTCGTCACTGTCCCACACGACATCCTTGTCTCTAAATTGGAGAGACATCAATTTGATGGATGGACCACTCGGTGGATAAAGAACTGGCTGGATGGCTGCACACAAAGAGTTGTGGTCAATGGCTCAATGTCCGGCTGGAGACCAGTAACGAGTGGTGTCCCTCAGGGCTCGGTGTTGGGACCTGTCTTGTTCAGCATCTTTGTCGGTGACATGGACAGTGGGATTGAGTGTGCCCTCAGCAAGTTTGCTGATGACACCAAGCTGTGTGGTTCGGTTGATACGCTGGAGGAAAGGAATGCCATCCAGAGGGACCTTAACACGCTTGTGAGGTGGGCTGATGCCAACCTTATGAAATTTAACCATGCCAAGTGCAAGGTCCTACACCTGGGTCGGAGCAATCCCAGGCACAGCTACAGGTTGGGCAGAGAAGAGATTCAGAGCAGCCCTGCAGAGAAGGATTTGGGGGTGTTGGTCAATGAGAAAATGAACATGAGGCAGCTTCAGTGTGCACTCACAGCCCAGAAAGCCAACCATGTCCTGTGCTGCATCAAACTGAGTGTGACCAGCAGGTCGAAGGAGGTGATCCTGCTCCTCTACTCTGCTCTCGTGAGACCTCACCTGGAGTATTGTGTGCAGTTCTGGTGTCCTCAACATAAAAAGGACATGGAACTGTTGGAACAAGTCCAGAGGAGAGCCACGAGGATGATCAGGGGACTGGAGCACCTCCCATATAAAGATAAGGTGAGAAAGTTGGGGCTGTTCAGCCTGGAGAAGAGAAGGCTGCATGGAGACCTCATAGCAGCCTTCCACTCTCTGAAGGGGGCCTATAGGGATGCCAGGGAGGGACTCCTCATTAGGGACTGTAGTGATAGGACAAGGGGTAACGGGTTAAAACTTAAACAGGGGAAGTTTAGATTGGATATATGGAGGAAATTCTTTACTGTAAGGGTTGTGAGGCACTGGAATGGGTTACCCAGGGATTGTGAATGCTCCATCCCTGGCAGTATTCAAGGCCAGGTTGGACAGAGCCTTGGGTGATATGGTTTAGTGTGAGGTGTCCCTGCCCTTGGCAGGGGTGCTGGAACTTGATGATCTTAAGGTCCTTTCCAACCCTAACTGTTCTATGATTCCATGATTCTACTAAATGGTTCAATTACAAATTACATGTTGGCATTATCTTGTCAGAGTTGGTATTCCCAAACATAAACCAGCACTAGCCTTTCAAGGAATACTATTATGGCCAGTTACTGCAGGCATGTCAGTTCTCTAGGAAGAGCATACTGTTAGACAGAAATAACGAGTACAAAATCACAGCGAGCAGAACTACGTATGCAAGAATTCTAGCAAGAAGAAAATCTGAGGTTTCAGTCAGAAAAACAAACTAGTAAGTCAGGAGAATGAATGGGAATATTGCAGTTTACCAGTCATGCAAGGCATTGCTAAGTGGCAGCTGCTGGTCCGTGGAGCCTACAGAACATTTCCTCTCCATCTAGAAGAAAGCCCATGCATGATGCTGGCCACCACTTGGTCATTTTGTGTCGTAGAGGAAGCTGAGGTGGATTGATGTAGCTGCATATAAGGAGAGGTAATCCAAACCCTTTTGTCGAAAAATGAGTTTTCTCTGAAATTGATGCCATCCATCTAAAAATAGTCATTACAGCTCCCCTTGTTCATCATGCATTTATGACAGTCTTTTTAAGAAGCAGCGTCCATTTGCACAGCAGTTTTGCTGTCATTAAGCATTTTCGAGACAGGTTTGGGACCTCTAAGGAAAGGGAGGCAGAGCAATGGTTCTCCTGGTTACTTATTCTACAAACTGAACTCAGAACGAATGCATACTTTCATGTTTTATGGCTTACACATTAGCAAGGTTGCAGGGATTCAGTAAAAGGAACTCAGTTAATAGTGTGCAATCCTGACATTGGTTCTTGGCTGGCAAATGGCACTGTTGAGGCCAAAATTAAAGGTAGGTAAGTGGAATTTACCTGACTCTGAATTTTGGCTCCTTTTCCATTAGAAAGGAAAAGGAACTGCTTTTGGCCTTGCTTCTCAACAGTTCTGAGAATGAGAAAATTTGGTAGAATCATAAATTTGAAGCTTTCTTTTCATAAAAGCTCATTTTTCTTGAAGAAGTTCAGCTGTATTCAATTGACACCTTAAAAAATCTGACCTGACTTGTTCCATGCTTCCTTTGGAAGTAGAAAACTGAAAACTTGTATCTCAAAATATTTAAAAATATTGTAGAGGTTGATGAATACTTGGTGTGTTTAATCAAAAAGTTTATTAGACAATGAGAATAACTTCTTTCAGATGCAATTTTCTTTAACAGGAATGCCACTAAGGAAAATTTAAGGGGAAAAAATGTTTAGAAGTGTGAATATCTGTTCATGACTAACATTAAAAGTCAATTTTAAGAAAAGATATCTGAATACATGCTCAACTGAGCCTGTTCAGCTAATAATGTTAAACTTCAGGGAAAAACCCAAGCTTGTATAGCTGACTATCTATCTCTGGCATGTACCTGAGATCATCCAAGGATGTTTCTTTGGGGAAATCAGTTACTGGGGCAAGCGAAATTGAAATATTGCAAAGTGTATGGATGTTCTGCATGCAGGTCTTAAGCAGGATAATCCAGGGATGGTGTCTATTTGCAAAGCACTACAGTGGTACGTGAAGGGAACTGATTATTCAGTGACATGCTCTAAGGTTCCAGGCAGGGGGAATGGGAATGTTTTGTGAGGAAAATTTGGTTAGGGCTCATAATTTGGAATTTTGGGAATGCCATGTTACACTTAGGTGAAAAAAACAACAGGTCTAGATGTTTGAGTGAATCAATTGACATGTAAAATTTAAGTTTACACCAAACTGGACCTTTTTCTAACCTTAATGTATTTTTTTTTATGTTTGTGGTGGTTGTTTTGTTTTTGGGTTTGTTGTTTTTTTTTTTTTGGGGGGGGGGTTTGGTTTTTTTTTTTTTTTTAAGGATCTGTTATTTCTGTTTCTAAAAAGGTCAGAAATCTGAAAGCTACTGTAGCATTAGAAAAGAAAAATTTTGGACATTATTCTAATGCATAGACATGTAGACAAAGCGCATAGTGGAAAGCTTGCAAGGAACGTCACTCTTGTGATTCAGTCCAGTTTTGCATTCTCAGGATGATTACATGCTTTGGACAAGGTTAGCGTAAACAGCCAGTCATTTGAGTTGTGATTCAAGCAGATACTCTGACCGTTTTTGTTTTTTTCATCAGCAGATCTGTTCTTGAAGTCTCCAACCCCATTAATTACAGCTGACTTTTTTTTTTTTGCATGGCACTTGACATAATGAGATATAATCCCCATCTGGGCACTTGTGAAGAGTAATTGCACATTTGCAAGATACTGCAAGATTTATAGTAGCATCTCCTAATATCTCACAATACAAATGTATCTAACGTACTGTGAGGGGTAAATTGGCACATTCACATGATATGGCAAAGTTTTGTAAAATATCTTACTTTATCTCTTATGAAAACTATGAAATTATTGCCTGTCACTTTTGTGTGTTTATTACTGATTATTCTGCAAGGCTGTATTTCAAATCTATTGCTTGCGAACATGAACAAATCCAGACTAAACAGGATACAGTCAGAGATGAAATATTGTGTTTGCTGAGATATCAGCACAGAGACCTCAGCAATTTTTTAAATGGAAAAATAGAATTATGGGTGCCAAGGGCTGAGAAGTCAGAAGTAAATGTAGTAATATAACCTACATTTCAAGAGGAAAAATGGTTGTGCTGAAGATAATGATCCTTCAGAACTTGAAAATAATACATCTTTCTCCAAATGCAAGAGTTTTTCTCTTCATTCTCATTTCTGTCTTTGCCAGAAGTTAAGGGTTCATGTAGGGTCCAGAAATCAAATATGTTCATAAATGTCTTCCACTCAGTCGCAGCTTCCGAAATCCTTTAGCAATCTGAGGCTAAATAGTCTCCAGTGCGTACTCCCATCATCAACAGCCACTACCTTGCATCCACTGGGTTCAAAAGAACCCGTCAACCACTTCACACCTTCTAAAACTTCTTATTAGCAGAGAGAGAATTGCATTCACTGACACTGAAACCCTATGAGGTACATAGTGAGCCCAGAAAACTAAAGCAACAACACTACAGAATCTGGCTATACCACAAAGTGCACTGGGGGATGCCAGTGGTCTGTAGATGGTAGCAAAGTTAAAAAGTACATATATTGCTCTTATTTACAGGGACAAGATTATCTGTTTGGTTATCCACAATACTCTACCGCTGAAAATGCAGTCCACTCATGCAGAAGAGGATTATATGTTTTTATCCACAATTAGTCTGCAACTTTGTTTTTTTTTCTGATATTGCTGTTTCATGGCAAAATAATACTCCATATTCAGTAGTTGAGCACCAGCCTCATATCTTTATTTACAAGTACGCTTGTCTTATTTGCTTCAGAAAGCCTAGTGGGAGAAAGTTGAGTCACATCGCACACCTTGTTCCCTCCTGTGTGTGGGCCACAGTTCTTCCTTCAGTTCCTTTTACTGCCTGGCTGGGTGCGAACATCAGGATGCAGCTTGCACACTTAACCTGAAGCTGTAGGAGCATCTGCTGCCCTCTTCCTACCACTTCCATTCAGAGATGCCATTGTACTTAAGAGGAAATTTTAAGTATTCACAGCTTGCTTATCAGGGAAAAGGAGTCATCTGGTAGAATGAGAAAACTCATGCACTCTGTGGTATGACTGTAAATAACTGCACTTAAAATGAAATCAAAGCCCATATCTTGGGACAAGTATGCCAGCTTCCAGGAGAAGATGTTTTTTTTTCATGGCAGACTTATCACTGGTTTCCTAAATGAACCAAGATAAACAGAATGAACTCTTTCATGTGGCTGCTGTGATTAAAGCAAGGTCCTCAAGTTGGCAGCCTATTATGGGGGGCTTCAAAGTGGAAATAGGAGCTGGCTTTTCTCTTTCTCTCAGAGAATCCTGCTGCTATTTGTGCATGGTCTATCTTGGTGACTGGCATACATTGGAATATATGCCGTCTGTGGGCTTGGAAATCTCATGGCAGTAATCAGGAGTGCACTGGTCCTTATGGCAGGCATCAAATGGGCTACTGCCAGGTCTTTGAACTACAAAAATAAATAGAGAATAGAACTGCATTGTATTGGCAAAGCCTGACGCCCAGTCGTCTGTCTTGGAGCATGCTCTGGTGAGAGTGTTTAACTTGGATATGGTCCATCACATGTGGTAGCTGCAAGAGTGGAAGAACAGAACAGTGTTAGACGGTACACTTAATAGTGTGTTGGCTTAGTAGTCCTCAGGAAACTCTTACTCCCATTTTCTCTCCTAGGACTCTGAGCCCTACCCTCTTGCTGAGCTTCTGTGTAAGTGGATATAGAGATCAGATAGTACAGTTTTCTCCCTGGTCCTACAAGAAACCTGTATGCACCGGTCTGATCTGTAACATGTGCTTATGGCAAGGGTAGGAATTGTGTGCCTTTTCATTGGCAGTTTAGACAGCTCTGACTTACAACATGCTCTAGGTGAACTGCTCTACCCTAGAGGACTCGGGAAGCAGAGGAGAGGAGCAGCATGTTCCATGGTTTTGGCTAAAGCATGTTTTCCTCTGTCTGTTGTGGGCAGTCTGTGAAGCAAACTACAACCTCCTCTTTCCTTGCTCAATTGCATTTTTGCGCCAACTAGAGTGTCCTGCGAGCCCCTCAGTGTGTTACATACCTACCTACCTGACTGCTAAAACTGTGCGTGTGCAGTGTGTGATCCTGGAAAGTTGCACCACAGTTTTCATGCACTGTGAATGTTTTCATGGCTGAATCAATTTGTTATGGATTATCAGACAGGGTTTCTGAAGAAAGAAAAGCTGAGTATGAAATTTTCCAATTAAGTGATATTGCAGCTTTTATGTATGACTTCTGTATTTGTTCAATAAAAGTTTTTTGGGATTTTTGCTGCATAAGTTACTTGATACAATGTTGGTGAAGGGAGGGAGAAGAGAATTTAAAAGAGGATGAATTCCCTAGTACAATCCATTTGTTTTGTGTCACTTTGGGAATGCAAAGCAGCCATGAACTCAGTTCCTGACTATTCAGAGTTATCAAAAATGGCACAAATCACTGAAGAAATGCTGCTTTACATTATGGATGACTAGGAATTAATTCAGAGTAACTATGTTCAAATTTGAGGTACGTTTCCAGTGGGTTTTTTTACATGATCAGACTACATTCTGAAGGGATAAAATAAGTTAGAGTGAAAATTTTGTGAGTTCTCAAGCAAACACTCTATCAAATGAAAATGATTTTATTTGGGTTTAAAGCAGTGACATTTCCTTTATCATAAAAATCTGTTTGCTGAGAACTTGATGGCTCTGTTACTGCCCAGTATATTTACTGTGGGAAATACACTGTATAGTACATGAATTTTTGCAGGGTCACCAGTGGTCTCCAAGCCAGTTGCTAGCTCTGAAATAAGGGCAGAGGCAGCACAGGTTGCTGCTGCTGCCAGGGTCTTCCTCCCGAGGAAGGACACAGCAGCGTGCACGTGCTTTTAGAATGCTAATTAAAAAATGAAAAGGAGGATACTGTAGGCTTTGAAACACATTAGGCAGGAAAAGGATAGCTTATGATGATGCTTGCTAGGCATAGTGTCTGAGCACTCTGAACAATAAATGATCCATAGCGTGGTAAAGACATTTAATTAATTTAGCAAAATGTGGGTTGTTATGCCATTCTACTTATTTGTATCAGAGGGCTTTAAGCAGAAGTTGTAACTCTGTCTTTACTCAGCTCCATGAGATTAGAAAGAGATTGTTTTTATCTGACAACTGATGCTTTCTATTCCATGTTTGAAGTAACAGTTCACTGGGCTAGGTTTTTGCGTTTAGCTTAAAGGTGTGTTGATAATTTCCCATTAAAGTAGCATTTACCTAAATATTTATCTGAATGGAAGAGGTGACTTACCAGTGTTTATGGTCCAGATGCTTATTATTCTGCTGCACTTTGTTTCTCTACTATGGTTTCTTCTGAGGTACAATGGCAAAAGAAATCCATAGAAAAAAATATATAAGAAAAGCTATATTTTTTTTTTTTGTGATTTCTCTCCTAACTGGGACCAGGAAATACTAAAAACATCATGGGTATAAGGTGGTGGTGAAAAGACTGATTCCTAGAACAAATCACTCTAGGTGTATGTGACCAAACAGAGTAACATTGGGGATTTCATCTGCTATGCAATTTGAATCTTCAGTTATTCACCGTTTATACTTATAGAAAAACTACATAAAGACTGTGGGCTGGCAGGCAGAATACTCATCTCTGAAATTCTGTTACTGACAGGGGATACTGTACTTTTTTCTTGTTTTCTTTTTACATGATAGTAACAAATGCCATCTCCTTGTTGAGTACAAGGTGAATACTTGACATGAGCCTTCAAAATCATGAATGGTAGAGCTCTTTAAATCCTTCCTCAATGAGCTAGACTTATGTGGCTGTTATGATGCATAGCTTCATTTCTGCTAATTTTCTGAGATATATAAATGATGAAACTCAGGCTGTGTGTTACCAGGCTGGTGGCTTGCTGCTGAAATGCTCTGAGAATCTTCCTTCTTTTTTTTCTGAGATGGATCACAAGTACTGCCTTGCTTCAGAGCATGCTGGTGTGAAGGAACTTGGTTTTGGAAAGGCCTTGTAACAGAAAGACTCCAGGGCTGTAAATGTTTCGAGTGTTTCAAGAAACAGTTTTCAAAAAAGCCTTTTTTTTTTTTCTTTTTTTCCCCTTCAAATTCCCTGAAATACTTTGGTTTCTTATAAAATCTAGAAAAATATTTCTGAACAGAAAAAATTTTAACTCCTTCTGAAGTTTATAAACTACAGATTCAATATCTCTCTCCGTTGTTTTGATTTCCATTATATGCTTTTTACAAAACTCGCTACCCTCAAAAACTTTAAACAGTGGGGGTTTTAGTAGTTGTCATACCCAATGTGTCTTGCATGTATCTAAGTATTTAATGTAGGCTGTAGCTGTTTCAAGTGCTCCATAAACAATATATTAGTTTACCACCTGTATATTCATTTTTCCAGTCATTTCACTATGTCGCTTAGTCCAGAGATTTCTTCTGTCCTCTAAATTTCCAAGTAACCACTTGGATTAGTTAATTATATTCATCTTCACAGAAAGAATAATTCTAGAGTAATCACTGTGCCTAAGTGGAAGAAAATCATTGCACTTGTGGCTTTGCACAAGAGTGCAGTGTCATTGTGTAGCATAGTTGGTAAAATCAAATAGACTGCATAAGTTTAAAAGTCTTTAATCCAGTTAATGAAGGAAAAAGTTCATTGTTTCATTTTAAGCAGCAGGCTAATCATAAAGTTATCTTATTTGCCTGATGTTCTATATTTAATTCCCATCAATGCCGTATATAGTAGTGAAGAAAAATGGCTGAACTGGAATGATAGCATTCACCCTTTTTTTTACTCCTGGGCAAAGGCATTTTTACAGTAAATTTGAAGGGGAAATAAAAACTTCAAAACTTACCTGTATTTTCACAGAACCATAAATATGGATATATTATTTGCTACAGTACTAATCACAGATCTATCCCTTACAGACTCTGCTTATATTTTCTTAGGAATATGTGTAGTATATAATTAAAAAGCCCAGAATATATATCCCAAACCTCATAGGAGACTTGTTAGTTCAAACACCACAACAGAGTGAGCATGCATGCTTTGTTGCTTCATGTTTTTCAATTTTATGCAATGAAAATTAATAACTGAGAATAAATTAATCTACTAATAAGTCTTCAAAGCATCTTCATTCTTCTGATTTTAAATATTTAATTGATAATTGTGAAGATCAAAGATTCCCCTGGTACTGATCTAGTTTTAACAACTAATGCTATAGCCAGATACTCATTTGTGTATAGAAGAAATAAAGACTTGTTTAAAAATAGATGCAAAAAAAAAGTATGGAAAAAATAGATTAAAAGAAATGGAATTTACATTACATTTTTAATATTTTTCCTAAATCATGTTATTAACAATATAGTGAAAATATTTATAATTAAATATAATCTATTCTGCCAGCTGCCTGCTGATTTTTTTTATTCTTGGAGAGATTTATCATTTTCAAATGCACTGTGATTAGACAATTTGGGTGAGGAATTATATCTCCTTACCTCAATTTGTGATTAGGAAATTTCTTTTACATAAGATACCTTTGTGAAACTTTACTAGAGTATTAAACCTCAGCTAACTCAAAAGAAGGAGATACAGGTAGTGAGGTTGAAAGGATTGTTTGTTACTGTTAGGAAGATCAAAGAAATAAACATTTTGCAATCTAGTTAGGCTTCAGGGATTTGGTGATGTTGAGACTGAAAGGGTTATGTCACGTGCAAATCTTTTTAATCGCACATACAAGCCATAAACAATGTTGCATTTTGAGCATTTAAATTAACGTGCTGTAGCAGGTAACAGACATATTCACGTATGTCTATTATATATGATATTCCCATATCATATTCACACTTGGACGCATCAGCTTCCTCTGCAAAGGCATCACTTCTACTGTTCACAGGCTGAAAGCATCTCTGTATCCAGGGAAGACTGTGGACAATGTGTTTGAATGAGGCCATGCCTCCTCCTTGCCCTCCCAGGTGTGGGCTAAGCTGCATTTCCCTGTTACAACATACCAGGCCACCTACTCCAGCAGCAAAAGCCAGATGGGGGGTAGTGCTTAGGACCTTGCTGTAGAGGATCGGCATCTTGCTCTTGAATCAAACAGGGTAAAATTTGCCCTGTTTGGATAGGAGGCCAAAGATGATGATCTACCTTTTCTTATATCTCTATATCTCTCCAGCTATTCATCTTCTCCCACCACAAAGCCTGTAATGACTCAAACTGGACTGGTATTTTCTCTGCCTTTTTCTGTTTCAGAGCTGGTAAGAAAACATTACACCAAATTCACATATTAGGGAATGCCAAAGGATACCATTTTGGAAATACTATTCCAGTTTGTTCAGGATGATACCTGTTTTATTTTTCTGCCTGTGGTTTACCATCTGTTGTGTTCTCTTTGCCTTGTCTCATCTGCAGCCCATTGTGCAACAAAACCCTCAGGACAGAGGGAGGATGGGAAGGTAGATCCTTCCTTGCGAGTAGGGGAGCATGCAGAGGTGGGAGAAGTTTGTGAAACAGAGGCAGAAAGAAGCCCCTGCTGAAGAAAGGTGCAGTGGTGGGCACGGAGGGATCCCACAGCCAGAGGTGAAGGGATGAAAGCCACTTCTCTTAGGATGCTGAGCAGCCTGGGAAGTCTAAAAGTTGCTGAACTCAAGACAGTACTGGGTGAAAAGCCCTGCTCCATAAAATGATTAATACAGCCAGGTAAGTTTTGCCTTATGTCTTTTTTGCCTCACTCAGTTATCACTGTTGTTTAAAAAATTCCATAGTTCTAGACTTCCCTCTCCCCAAATTACAGAATCTAGCCATTGGGATTCATGGCTGTCACTATTTTTGGGGTGCTCTGAGATTGGTATGAGGGTTTGGAAGATCCTCTTGAAAAAATACCTTTTTATAGCATATTGTCTTGCAGCCCTAAAAATAAGCAGTGTTGGTTGGAAACTGGGAGCAGAAATTGCATAACACCAAGCATATATAAACCCCTGAAGCTCAGTTTACTTAGGATTGTTAATGGTGTATCTAAAGAGAGGAGAAAAAAATGTAAGAGATAGGAAGGATAATGATGTGAATTGCTAGAGCACAAAGCAGACTTGGAACATGAAAGAGCGAAACCCCATGCCAAGATAATTAGATGATATAAGCATAAGGCAGGGAAGTTAGCCAGCACTTATCTTCATTTATAAATAATGCTTCTGAGCACTTCTTTCCATCCCCATTTAAAGATTAATATTCTGCTGTAAACCAGACCTGCTCTAAACATCAGAGTCTCACTTACCCTGGATTAACCTAGTGGTTCTCTGCAGGATATGATGAGGTCAGAGCAATGCAGTTTATCTCCCTGTTTTGAGTACAACAGGTGTTGGTACTCCGGGGTTGCCCTTTTTGATAAAGGCTGTACAGAGAACAACAGGGAGACATGAATCCCTGTTAGTACCCTCTCATGAATCCTACTGAAGTGAACTCAAAATCTGTTTTTATTCAACTGTAGTAGAATAGACCCTCCAAACATGAAATAGGAATTCGAATGAATATCCTTCCTGACTCTGATATTTTCAAAATTGACATGGGCTCTAGATGCCTTATAGCCAGTTAATAGGTAATAGGAAGGGGTCATCTGTGGGGTCCTTATGATGCTTTGAAATGTCTGCCGCACTATTTAATGTGTCAGAAATTGCTTGTATTTGATGCAACCCTTCAGCAAGGTTCAGTGCAATACTTTCCAAATTAGTTATATTCTTCCTAAGGAACGAGTGCCAGAGACACGATTCAATTCAGATTCCCACATTGTGTTGAGATAGGTGCTTGCCGGGGACTTGGCCAGCTAATCTATGGACAAATTGTCCAGAGCAACAGAATACAGAGGTTTAAGAAGTTATTATGTCTTCAGACTTACAAACGTAGCTCCCTCTTGAAAGCTTTTGTGATATGTCTGCTAACAGATAACATATTCTCAGTATGGAAGACAGGCTTCCCAGGGCTTCTGACAGGTTGGTGTGCCAGTGGATAAAAGCATCAAAATACTCTGGTCACCCTTGCTGGTGATCTGTTAGTGGAAGTGATCTGTTCATGGGAAGCCAGCTGGTTGTCTATAGTGCTATTTTTTCCTTCTTATTGCCAGTTGCTAAGTCATATAAAGGACATATTAAAGAAATAACATTAAATAATGCTAATTTTCCAGGCAGATGATTATTTATGTCTGCCACAGAAACACCAAAGGCAAATGTGAGGGGAAGATGTCATCTGTAGTAGCTGATAAAGGACAGTTAGAGTCACTTCAGCAGTGTTTTTAAATTGCTAAAGAAGTTATCCCAAGAATTAGTTCTGCTAGCTAGAC